GTTTTCAATTAAAATAGGAACATTGACTAACAACCATGATTTCAAATTGTCAATTTAAATTGTCGAACTAAAAATGGATTAGTAAGGGGGATTCCACATCTTAGCAATACTTCTCGCGAATTTGACAAATTTTTACTTTACTTTCAATTTAGTTGCTAGATTTAATATTGTTTAGTCACAACTTGATTTTGCTATTCGATTAAGGGTATTATTAATTTTAACAAGATCAAACATATAGTTCTCGTGAGTTCGACACTCTACACATTACTATATTACTTGTTTACGATCATGTTCACTTGCGGGTAATCAAACGATCATGAATCTACCAATACCACCAGAAAAGGTTTGTTGTTACTCATGATAACATCGTCTTGCATCACTATTTCATACGTTTCAACCAAATCCCGACTGGGACACATATGGAACACACAAGATGCATCGACTGGGACGCACTTTGACCTTAACTTATCCCTTCTTCGATCACCATGAATAACAAGGCCTTCTCCATCCGTGGTCTTAGATTCAACTAGATGCATAATCTTTTCTTTTGAAAATAAGGCTTCATACGCATTTTCAATGATGAGAGTATCATGACTTTACAAGATCGTGTCTTTAAACAAAGCAGGCAGCCAACACAAAGGATTAGAGCCAAATCTTTTTCATGATACTTTACCTCTAAAGTCTCTAAATCAGCAATGATTTCTTTAAACACAATCAGATGATCTTCCAAAAATACACTTTCTATCATGCGATGAGAATACAACCTCTACTTCAAATGTAATTTGCTTGTCAGACTTTTAGTCATGTACAATTACTCCAACTTTAACCACAATGCAGCTACCGTTTTCTTATTTAAAATGTCCAGAAGAACATTGTTAGAGAGATGAAGATGGACCTGGGAAAGTGTTTTTCGATCCTTTCGTTGTTTCTCATCCACTATCCAAATTGTGGACATTTTGTCGACTCTCAACAATTCATTATCCAAATTCATCTGTGAGAGTACAATCTGCATATTCACTTGTCACAATGTGAATCTTGTATTACGATCCAATATCAAAATTTCATACTCCATCGCTACCATTAATAACAAAAACCTCGAACAAATCACAACCAATTGCTCTGATATCACTTGTTGGGAAATAAAATGGATCGAGGTAATATATGTTACGATATGAAGTATATGATTGTAAACCAATAATAAGATAAAAGCAAATAATTAATTGGTTGGGAAATGAAGTACTTTATTCAATTGACTAATATGGAAAAAAACAAATACAATAATTGTGCCTACAAAATTATTCTATATTTCAATAATACAAAAGTTGGGAAAATAGTCTAATATTTATAGAAGTGCATATCAAAATCTAGAAATACCATAAAGATGGAAACAAGATAAAAACATTATGTGGAATAAAGTGAAAAAATTATTTTCTCAAAAATTCAGTCTAATTTGGGTTGGAAAAAAAAAAAGAAAAACTAATTTAGAGCGTGAAGTTTGTGTTTACTTTGTTGCACCATCTCATTGTACTAGGAAGATATTGAGCATGCCAACAATTAATTATATGTAGGGTCCATTTAATTGCAAAGATGAAATTTGAGTGGAAAGAAAATGAATTTCAGGGAATTGAATTACCTAAAAATTGTTTTCCTGGGAATTGTAAATTATTGTGTTTGATTGGTATAATTTTTCACATGGAAAATGTTGAAATAAAAGTATTTTTTGATATTCGTTTGACTTTGTTTTACATGAAAATTGTCAATTAAATGGATTAAATTTACTAGTATTGTGGATGAAATTTGTTTCTATTGTCAAAAAAAAATCAAGAAAATTATCTATCTTTTAGTGTTTGTTTGATTTTATTTTACATGAAAATTGTCAATTAAATATATGAAATTTATTACAATAATTCTTAAAATTTGTTTCAATTGCAAAATAATAAGTGAGTGCTTGATAGCATGGAAATGGAAAAAAGAAGAAGATGGAATTGGAATTGGAAATTCCAACTTTTGGTGTTTGATACCTTATATTTTCCATGGAATTGCATTTCTTGGATTTCATGAAATTTGAAATTTTTCTTGTTTTAGTGGAATTTGAATTCTCACGGTGAGAATTCAAATTCCTTCCACCCTACTGTAACGATTATTATTTTTTTTCGTCTTTTTTTTTGTTGATAATGGAAACCAATTCTAAGAATTATTGTAAAAAAATATTTTCCTTTAATTGACAATTTTCATGTAAAACAAAATCAAACGAACATTAAAAAACACTTTTATTTCAACATTTTTCACGTGAAAAATTATATTAGTCAAACACAATAATTTACAATTCCCAGAAAAACAATTCTAGGCAATTCAATTCCCTGAAATTCATTTTCTAGGCAATTCAATTCAATCTTTACAATCAAACGGAGCCTAAATAAATAAATAAATGCGTCAAAAGTTGGAATTTCAATACCCACCATTATGGTGAGAATTGAAATTCCACCATTTGATTATGTGGTAACAAAAGATGGAAAAGGAATTCCATGCCAAATTTGTGCAATCAAACACATAAAAGATGAAAAATAAAATTTATTTTCCATTTTCTATGGAAAATATAAGCGTATCAAACATGGCCGTAGATTCTTTTCAAATTCCAATTTCCATAAAGAGTCAATCTTTCATAATTAAAGACGAAAATGTTAAACAAATTTTCTCTTCTATTATTTCATTTACTTAAGATTTAATTTAAGGATTAATTCTAAGACTATAAATAGTATGTAGATATAATGCACTATTATTATTCATAATTATACTATCACTATATTTATTCTATATCATAGTCATTAGTATACTATAATTATGATGCTAATGTAACCCCTGTTTGTCATCCATTTTCTTCCATTCTTTCCATTATTTTTTTTACAGTACTCATTTTTAACCACACATTTTTCATGAAAATAATATTACACTTAAATCAAAAACTTTTCTTTCTTTTTTAATCACACATTTCAACATCAATCACTATTCCATAATACATTCTTCCCAAATAATGAGTGACAAACACACCCTAAATCATAATGTTATAGTTGCAATACAATATTACATAAAAGGGGCTTGGTATCATCGTCCACTCACTTTGAGACAATTATATACAATAGACATATGAGTCCCATTCACGTATTTTCACATGATATTTTATGTTCGACTTCTCTTGATCAAGCATATAGTAAAAAATTATTTGTGTAATGCAATTCAATGCAGTTTTTTATAGAACTTTATCTCAGAATCTTATTGAGCCACTAATACCTCCATAAAATGAGGCTAATACAACTTCAAAACAGCGTTCCACACGATTTTCTTAAGACTAATTTTTCTAAAACTTGTTATTTTGTCGGATTGAAAAGTTGATAAAATTTGTAGGTTCTGTAACATATGATTAAAATTAATTGTTGACTTTGATGTCAAATTTTTAACAACTTTTTAAACTTTCCCAAATTATCATTGAATGTAAAATCAAAATCCTAAACATAAAAATCAGTAATTGACATCAATTAATAATTAATTAGATACTAATTACAATTTTCAATCAACCAATTTATTTTTGGTTTGAAAATTTATTTCCTTAAACTCACGTCACTCCGAGAAATCAATCTTTTACATGGCTAGTCAAACAGAGAGAGCAACACACAACAAAATAGTCTGTTTTGTGTGGATGGTAGACTTCCCAACGGAGAGAGCAACACACAACAAAACAGTTTGTTTTGTGCAGGGGCGAACCCACATGAGGTCATGTGGGGTCAAATGACCCCACAGTTTTCTGGAATTTTTTTTTCTGAAAACTTAATTTTCTACTCCAAAAAGTCCAAATCCTAAATCTATATCCATATCACATGGTCCATATCCATTATTTAGTCCATAAATATATCATATAATCCATCGATTTCTTCCCAAAGTGCAAATACCGAACATGAACAGCAAACAATCAATTTTTCCTTTTTGTTCATGATACGTTGTTCGAAAAAAAAATTTTTGACCCCACAATTCGAACGGTCTGGATCCGCCCCTGGTTTTGTGTGGATGGTAGACTTCCCAACAACACCTTCATTATTTACATTGGGAAACAACGTTGTCTGTTTCATTCTGTACAGAGAATAGCCATCAATGGTTAAGGGTGGTGGCCATAACAATTCCACATTACTCGCTAAACACCACAATTCATTTGTCCTTTCACCTTGTGTGTTCATACTGTTAAGTTGTGGAATCTAATTAGGATTTTAAATTACCATAAAAAAAGGAACAAGGTTAGAGAAGAACTGACAATGCTAATTAATTAGATACTAATTACAATTTTCAATCAAGCAATTTATTTCCTTAAAATCATGTCACTCCAAGAAATCAATCTTTTACATGGCTAGTCTTATAGAGAGAGCAACACACAACAAAACAGTCTCTTTTGTGTGGATGGTAGACTTCCCAACGACACCTTCATTATTTACAATGGGAACAACGATGTCTGTTTCATTCTCTACAGAGAATAGCCATTAATGGTTAAGGGTGGTGGCCATAACAATTCCACATTACTTGCTAACCACCACAATTTATTTGTTCGTTCACCTTGTGTGTTCATACTGTTAAGTTGTGGAGTCTAATTAGGATTTTGGATTACCGTCAAAAAAGGAACAAGGTTAGAAAGATAGAGTGTCCAGTTTTCTCTTATAATTATTATTTTTTTTTCATCATAATGAATTAGCCCCCTTTATGGCCCCATTTTGTGATAAAATTAATAGGTGGAATAGTGTTTTAAAAAAAAATGAGTGGTTGAAAAAGAAGGAAAATTTTTAGATTTACGTGTAATATTATTTTATGGAAGATTGTGTAGTTGAAAATAGGAAAGAAAAAAATAAAATGTAATGGAATAAAAATTAATGTAAGCCAAACGGAGCTTAATATAGCGACAGAAGAAAACATAGTTACTAATTTTCAATACACAAGTCTACAGCTATGTGCATGCATTAACCTTATATATAAGTCCATAGCATGCATTAACCTTATATACAAGTCCTGTAAAGTTGGGATCTAAGAAAAGAACAATCTCTCAATTTTCTTTAGAAATACTTTTTCATTTCATTGCTCATCAATGGCTCTTCAATGGCTGAGCCTGGTAGGTGCCATATGGTTGCAATCTATAAATGGAACAAACTCAAATTTTCCTGCTTATTCGTCCGAGCTGAAGCGCTTTCTCTCCATATCACAGCCTCAGCTCAATAATCTGGCTGCAGCCTCCGATGCTGGGAAAGTGCTTGGGTGGATTTCCGGCACAGCCGCTGCCCATTTGCCTCTTTGGTCAGTGCTCCTAATTGGTGCAACTCTCGGCCTAATTGGTTATGGAATACAGTATCTTTTCCTCGCAAATCAAATCTCATCTCTTTCTTACTGGCAAGTTTTTCTGCTAACTGTTTTAGCAGGGAACAGCATTTGTTGGATCAACACAGTTTGTTACATAGTTTCGATAAAGAATTTTCCCCTTGATAGACAGATTGCTACAGGTTTATCCAGTAGTTATATAGGTTTTAGTGCAAAGATTTATACAGATATAGTGGATGTTGTAGCTCCAAATTCACCTTCAGAAAGAGCCAAACTGTTTCTTCTTTTGAATTCTGTTTTACCCTTAGGTGTCTGTATTCTAGCAGCTCCACTGGCTAGAGATCTAAATGTTGGAAAATCAAGGAAATTAGCAGGAGGGTTTATTTTTATGTTTGCAGTAACAGTATTTACAGGAATCTATGCTGTGATCACCAGTTTAAGGTCTTCCACTTTAAGATTCTTACATCCTTTAACAATTCTTGTTGGCGTCGGCGTATTCTTAATCCTGCCTCTTGTCGTTCCTTTGTTTGAAAAGATTAGAGAAACCCTGCAGCAAAAATGTCTGATAAGAGTACATGACGAAGGTGCTTCTGCTACATCAACGGAAAATGGGGAGAAATTGGAAGAAGGAGAGAGTAATTTAAGCAATTTTTGTGAAGAAAGTATAGAAGAAATTGGAGTGAAGTTGATGATAAGGAAAGTGGAATTTTGGTTATATTTTTTTGCTTATTTGTTTGGTGCAACTGTTGGTTTAGTTTATCTAAATAACCTGGGACAGATTGCCGAGTCCCGGGGGTGTTTGGCGGCGACCTCTCTCGTCTCCTTGTCTTCAGCATTCAGCTTCTTTGGCCGTCTCATTCCAGCGTTTCACGATTACTTTTTCTCAAAGTGAGTAATTCTTCATCCATCTACTTTGTTTATTTAAGTTATGTGATTTTTTAAATTTACGAGTCTTCAAAAGAAAATAAAAAAATGCATGTTCAATAGGCTTGCTTAGCGTAACGATTCGAGCCTCTTTGCCCAAGCCATTATTCTCCATGAACTCCTATCGCGTCCTTCAAGATTAGTATCAGATCCAACTTAAATCTCTTAGGCCTTGGGTTCGAATTGTGAAGGACATGATATAAACTATAAGGCCTAAAATAGGCAGATATTCTCCCAAAGAGTTGTTACAGTTAAGCCTCAAACTACAAGTACTTTCTTTTGCTTGCTTTATATTCAATTATCTCCAACACAAGCATGACATGAATAGTCAATTCTACGACAGTTTTTTTATTGAACCGTCACTAAATGTATTTTTTTCGTCAACTAATTTGCAGAAGCAAATATATGATATCTAGACCAGCAGCCATGGCATGCATGACAATACCAATGTGTGGAGCTCTGTTTTTACTTATTAACAAGCAGCACATGTGGCTCTACATTAGTACAGCCATTATAGGCATTTGTACTGGAGCAATTACTACAATTTCTGTCTCCACAACTGCCCAACTATTTGGCACCAAAAATTTTGGAGTAAATCACAACATTTTGGTTTCCAACATACCAATAGGCTCTTTCCTTTTTGGTGACTTTGCAGCCCTACTTTACAATAGAGAGAAGCTTACAGGACAAGAAAATTGCATTGGCCACAAGTGCTATCAAACCACTTTCATTATCTGGGGATTTTTCTGTTTTCTTGGAGCTTTTCTTTGTTTTATCCTCCATTCTCGAACGAAGAAGGCTGTAATAACTTAGAAAGTCCTAAATTAGTATACTCTAAACATGTCTTCGGTACAGTATCGTAGCCCGAGAAAGACAAGACTGAATAGAAATGCATTCAATGTACATGAATGAAATGTAAATGAAAAGTTCATTAATGCAATGAATGACTAGTATACAATTATGTGCCACATATTTTAATTTCTTAGCATAATTATTTAAGTATTGACATAATTTGGACAGGATGCATTGGCCAATTTTTTGGGTTTGATGTGACATTCTTTTGGCCGAAAAAATCAGAGTCTCTGAGGTAAATATGAGTTGAGAAGATTCGAAAGGGAGGTGACAAGTATAAAGGATAAGAATGGATTATTATTATTTTAATGAATCAAGTGATGATAAGTAGCATTTATTATTACAGGTTAGTCCTTTGTAATAGTTGAAATGATGTATTGTCTTCTTAGAGTGATACGACACCTTATGGTACCGAAGTCGGCAGCCTACTGTCCCCAAGTGCTGCAACTTGGTCGTGCCGTGGTGCTAACATAGGCTACCTGCCTACTGCACCCGCAACAACACAGACTGCCAACGGCATCGGAAGCAGCACAGACTGCCAACGGCACCCGAAGCACCACATTGGAACCAACGGGGCACGAGGTGAGGTAGGGTGAGGGACAGTGGACGAATATGGCAATTTTTGTCGAGTAATGATACCTTAGAATGATTTCTAGTCTAGTAATGATGAATTGAAAATCACATTCATGAAGAAATACATGAGAAATATGGAACTTGTAAATTACGCGGTGAAACAAGAAATTTTTCTATCTTTCAAATCAAGCAAGGTAGGAGTTTTTGATACATGGATGATGCATTTGATTATAAGATAGTAGTGACATAATACATCAATTAGTTGATAAATAAGTTAATGCTAAATCCAAAAATTAAATTTGATTTTTGAAAATGATAATATCTAGCATAAGTTACGCAACGATGCTTATTAGATTAATTTTCTCTTTCTATATTGTGAGATTGACATGAGATATAATATTTTCGACATGAACATTTTGATATACTTTAGGCAATAGTGAAAATAAAAAGAGCTCCGAGAAATGAAAGATATGGACGGTACGCGAGATATAGAATTAATGCATTTTAATCTTTTAACATCAAGTCTTCACACTAATTAAATTTGGTTGAGTTGTACTTCTATGATAAACTCCATCGGAGTTTGTATTTTATTTCTAATTGGTTTTATTAAAAATACATTTATTTACAATTAAATTTCTATATCTACGTTCACTGCTAGAGACAAATTTATGAAAATTTTATGTAGGGATTTTAAGTTAGTCGTGCATTGCGTCTGGAATGAGGATTCCCCTGGGGAACCAGGATGGCGACGGGGAACATGTACAAACCCCTAATCCATCTCGAGTATTATTTTAATTATTTATATTTGTAAATTTAAATCGTAATTAAATTTACAAAAAATAAAAATTACATAAATAGTAAATAGAATGATAGATGAAAACATTTTCATTTCAATTCCGACTCGTGAAAATTGTCAGAAGAGTAGGGCCGATGTGGCCCCACTATTGCCTCCCGAATTCTATGATTACATTAAGCGCCTGTTTGGACGCCATTCTCATCAAATTATAGTGAAAAATTCGAAAGTTGTAACAGTATGTTGCGGCAAGTCCAGCCGCAATAATTGATAAAAAAAAAATTGGTAGCCATCTTTTCTATTTTAAAATGCGAAAAATGTACTAATTAAATCTCCGTTTGGCTCTCATTAAATTTTATTTTATTTTTTATATCCTATTTTTAAGTACACAATTTTCTATAAAATAATATTACAAGAAAACTGAAAATCTCTTTCTTTATTTTTCAATCACTTATTTAAAAAAAAACACTATTCCATTCATTTTTATTTCAAAAAGAGAAAGCGAAACAGGGGACTAAGAAAATCGCATGCAAGTTTTAGAATTAAGTTATTTGTACAATGTTACTTGACAATATTGGAGGTGACGAAATCTGGACTAATGATTTAAAAAATAGTTTTTGACAATTTAAAAAATAGATGAATGTGATAATACCAACAAAGATTATCATCAATTATTGTGAAAATAACATTTTACAAGTAGCATGGTTGCAAGTTTTAAGGGACACTGTGATCTTTTCATCAAAACTTTTAATTGAACGGTAAGAAGGCAGTCAAAAATGACTGCTACAGTGGGGCCCTTGACTGTATAACCTTAGAATTTTTTTTTTAAAAAAAGGTTAAACCCTAACCTTAAGGGTCCCCCACCACCCCTGCCCTGGAGCATCGTGAGGGAGGTAAATCGCAGGTTATGCCTTCAAGGGTACAGGGTCGAAGGCTGTTTGTACACTTGCACTTACCCAAGAGCCAAATCCATATTTCAGGATTCGAACCCTTGACGCAGCAGCTTCAAATAAAACTGAATTTCTCCACCCTCCTCTTTTACTACTTAGATAAGTGCCTTGGAGCTAGAATTTTTCATTATAAAGGTTGAACGCCAAACAGGCGCTAATGTAAAGCCTGAAAATGCCACATTGATCCAATTGCTGTCTGAAAAGTAAAAAAACAAAATATTTGATATCTGCGTATATGTTTATAACACCTGGCGGCTGTCAAGGACAAAAATGAGTTTGTATTGAATGATATCAAGCTAACGTTCATCTGACATCATCCTCTTCGTAGGAAAGGAAAAATGATATCAAGCTGACGTTCATTTGACATCATCATCTTCCTAGCAAAGAAAAAAGCTGTGTACAGCATTTATTTTTACAACATTTTTCACACTCCCTCACATGTGGGGTCCATGATTATTTTAATCGTGGATTTCGCCCACTTACATGTGTGTATGTGAAAAAATTGTGAACAATATACTGTACCTATAGCAGAACCCCCTTAGCAAAATTTCAAAACTTCCAAGGACAGATTTATAGGAAAATTAATTAATGTAGGACTATTACTTTTAGAGGGTTTTTGAGAGACATTTTTATGTAAAAAATATATTTTTGAATAGTAAATTGATGGAAAATGTGTGACTGAAAAATAAGGAAATTTTTTTTATTTACGTATAATATTATTTTAATAAAGAATGTGTGATTGAAAAGAAGAGAGAGAAAAATGTATTTTGAAAAAAAAATGGATACCAAACGGGCCTTAATTCTCAAACAATCCTACATTCAAATTAACCTAAATAATTCTAAAATCATATATTATGTGCCCCTCTTGAGTCTATACATGTTTCTGAGGTCATTTCTTATCAGCTTCGTGAAATTGTTACCACATCGGCTTGATAGGTTTCAAGTTTCACATTATTTTTTTATTATAGCATAAATTGAAAGGCTTCTATATATTGATTGAGAATTGAGTGTTAACAATTCCAAAAATGATCATTATTTTACGACACTCTCTTTTAATTTTCTAATCGTTTTCGAATGAATTATTATTAACAATCAATTTTATAAAAATACCTTAACGATTCTGAGGGCATGCTTGGGAGTTTTGAGGTATCAATTATAAGATCTTTTTAAATATCTATTTTGGACATTTATGAGGAGTCCATTTTGAACGATTATTAGTAACGACTTTTAAAGCGATCTATATTTAACTTTATTGAATTTTCAAGACTCAGTCTTACTAGGTAGGAGAGAGAGCCTCCATGGGATAATAAGCGTGCAAAATTGACAAAATGATTTGAATCGTTGCACTTGTTTTTTGGGTCACGATTTGTCACATCAAGGTCTTGGAATGCACTCGAATAGGGAAACTAGTAATTTAGTCCTTCCATCTAAAATTGTTTTTTGAATTATGCAAAGAAATGTCTATTAAGTCAAGTTAATCAACAATATTAAGCGTATGTAAAGAAAAAGTCGACAAATTTCCATTACAATTGAGTGTAAAAAGAATGGTGGTAACACATAATTGGGCATGATTTATATAATATACGAACGTACATAACAAAGATAAATTAAAGTCTTTAATTTGGTTCAATCCACTGTGGAAAAAAATTCTAGCAGTGTTGAAAGGAGCGAATCAAATTCGCTTTTTTCTTGTCAAGAATTACATTATTCTAAGATACTCGATGTTTGACAGCAACCTACCGACTAAATAAGAGAATTTAATAAATAGTGTTACACGAAATGGCTGACTAAAAACATTTTTTCAATATTGAAGAGAAATAGCAACATTAATGTGAATACCCATGTTTCTGTTGACTAATATGGTCGACAGTTGAGACCACAAGGAAAAAATGTTTTTATGTTTCAAAATTTTGTCAACATGTGTGACAGTATGTTTAGTGATGACAAATTAGAGAAGTTACTCATGGATTTGACACAGTTTGTGGGTGATTTGGGCACGTAAAATCACAAGGTCACGAGCCATCTCGTAGGGCAACTTGTTTTAATTATTATTAATTTTTTAAATGGCTCTTGGCCAACTCGGCTTGACTCGTAATGCTTACGAGCCAAAGGGTGAAGTCTAATTTGTGTGTTTGTTATTTATCTTATATTAAAAAGCAATCTGACGTTGATATTCAATTATTATTAATGACAACTTGCGAGCCATCAATCATATGCTGTTGGTCGTCGGTGGTCATTGCATCCAATTACATGTTGCTCGGAAACGACAACTAGTGCCTAGTGGTCAGTTATTAGTGCTTGGGCTAAAAGATCGACAATCAAGTGTCATGTTGCAAATATTTGATGTTAGAGATCAACTACAAGAACCATAGATCAATAATGTCAATGATTTGAACTAGTGGTCATTATGGATCGACGACTTTTCAAGGTCCAGATTCGTTGATCAACTATTAAGAGTTAGTTTGTGCAATTTTTTTAAATTAATTTTTCTGAAAATCATATTCAATCAAGTTTGCGCGAGACTCATAATTTTTTCCTCCTTTCCAAACAATTTTTTTTTTCAAAAAAATAAAAAAAATTCACTTAGAAAAATCTCTTCCAAGCAAGCTCTAGATAATATACTTATCCTTCGATAGAGTTTGTTGTCAATTTTCTATCCTCTAAACTTATTTTAGTTTGGTACGTAAATCTTGTTGCTGCGATTTTTTGTCCGAGAAGAAGAAAAAGAAATGCACGTCAGACCCTAATTTCATGAAGAGCAATAAATAATCTATACAAAATTTCCACAGCAATTAATTAT